CCCACACTCGTTTTTGCAATTGTTCTCGATCTCGTTGGTTGTATGTTTTGTCGAATGAATGGATGGTTGTCATGTCTGTTTGCTTTTCTTTTGTCTGGTCCTCGCCTTTGCTTGTCCTTTTGATACACTCATCAGCATAGTAGAAACTTCTGCGTAGTCGTTATTACTGCTTCCATTGCTGTTTATTCTTTTCGAGCCCTCATTGTTACTGTGATGCCTGGTAACTCAGGAACGATCGCGTGCGGATCACGGAGTGATTAGATGATTGGGTAGTTGTTTGTCCAGAAACAAGCGAATACCTAGCGGGGATGCGTGTAAGCGCGATCTGATCTGCGCAGACTACGCGTATCCACGCGCGCCGATTCGCAACCGCCGACGAACTTAACACCTGATTGCTCTGGGGTTCTCTTCTGAACGTATGAATGGATGTTGTATTGTGGGTAATGGATGAGGTGATTGTCGCTTCTCTTTCCGTTTGTGCTCATGCTAGGCAAGGTAGTTGATGTATGTGTCACTCGCCCACGCATGGAATGACTAACGATTGCGGGGATATTGAATGATCGGATGTATTCAGTGGCCATTTTGCATCCGCAACGAAGCAACCATCCCTTATGAACACGTGTACGCACGATCCCATCCGCGCGGCCTACGCGTACTCACACGCGGTGATTCGCAATCGTCGAATACTGGAACAAGCGCGGAATTTCTGAACACTGAGTCCGGAAATTCCCCAGCTGGGTACACACACACCGAGGAATTCCGCAACCTCACAATGACAAAACGATGTACTCAAGGGACTCAGATTCGTCGTGGGATCCGGAGTATTTCGACCCTTGGGTGAGAGAGTGTCTCAGACAGAGACGCCCGGAGTTCCCCTGCGTAACCGAGAATCCGTTGTGCCCCAGGGAGTTCCATTGTGCCACGACCAGCGATCAAAGGTGTCGCGATTTCCCCACTTCGGATAACTCGCACTACTTCATATCCCACGACTTCGTTGTTATCGCTACCAACTTCCCTCCCTTCCGTCTCCTCCTCCCGTATCACCAACTCACGGTGGTTCCGTGGAATTCCATCGCCCAGTACTGGCCCCGCACGCTTTGCAGAAATTGCCGGCGATGCGGCAACCGACGAGCCCCGGGAACCAGAGGGCCTAACCCAAACGCGCGACGACCGACGCCACGTGGCGGTACCCAACGGACCGACCTCCACGGATTGCACCCCGAGCCCCTCCCAAACCGCCGCTAACCGAACGGACCAGACGACCTTGAATGCACCGTGCATGCCATCTGCCTTATGCTGCACGATATAGAACGCCAGCAGACCGGAAGAAACTCGCCCTTAGACCTATTGCCCCTGAAGCCCTACCATAGGAGATCTCAGTTCTGACCTGGGACTCCACCCCCACTTTCCCAAAAATCCTTGGCACACCCCTTTTCGCACTTCCAGGCCCACATCCTACTCCGATCAGGAAGTCGCGCTGGGCGTGAGGTTAGGGCGTCACAAGGAGGAGATGAGCACTGCTAGGGAATCTCCTCGTCTCACTGAATTTGTCCTCTTACATGAAACCACTGACCCGTACTAAGCCCTAAACGTCGTCATCATACGATTACAGAGGATGCTTAGTAATTCCTTACTCGTTTCCGATGTTAGGGCCCGTTCCCATCTTCTCCATGCACTGTTAAATGAACGGAACAGTTGTCCTGATTTATTTTTCACCGATGAATTTCATAGACGTGTCTAGGATGAAACCCATCTGGTCCAGATGAAAACTTTTTGTAATATTCCCGATCGTATTCGGTAATAGCTTGGCGAAGAGGTTGCCAATGGGTGGCCTTGACCCAACCCGACCTTACCCAGCCATGCCTGGCAATTAGATTCGGATAGAGTCATTACATTATTTCGGATAAATCTCTCCCTGGAGTAAAACCCATCTGGTCCGGCCTGGTTATGGCTGGGTAGAAGTTTGGCCGGGGCGACTCAAGTCCTATACGGAAATATAGGTACTAACACAGCCAGGCCCTAATCCTAAAATTGAAAAAAAGCGGGCTTTCAATACTTATTCGGAAAAGAGGGGCTGGTCGCCCCACATAAAGGCCGGATCTGGTAGTCTTACCCAGTGTTATGCTTTTGACAGGATTCAAAGGTGACCCGGAGAAGAAGGCAACAACCATAAATTATTAAATTCCTAATAATTACGTTTTCCTACTCGTAAGCCCTTAGTCCTATGTTTCCTACTTACTGAATACTGTCTCTATCCTTTCCTTTTACTTATTGGACCCAACAAACCCCATTAAAAACCCCATTAAATAGTATCTGCTTCTCCTTATTGGGCCCAACAAACCTCATTAAATAGTATCTGCTTTTCTTGCTAGTACGTTAGTAACCCTTTTCTTTCTTCCTACGCACCCTCCTCTGGCTGCTAATTAAATAACCCCCTGGTGCCCCTATTCTTCTCTTAAACACTAAACCCTAGGGCATCTCTATTTACTGATTACCCAGGAGCCCGATGTGTGTTTGGACGGGGGCTGAACTCCTCCTCTCTTGCTGTGTCCCCCTGGCATGCCTCCGTCACTCTCCGCTCCTGCTGCTCCTCCGGGAGATTTTTCCATTTGAAAGACAGCTTGGATTCCTTAATTGCTGCTTTCTTTCCTCCACACAAGCAAGTTCGCTCAAAGCTTTGCTTTCATTACCTGGGCCTTCTCTAGGTTGAGCTGCATGTTCTGTCTTACTCTCCTCCATTGCGCTCGGATATCTGTCACTACTGCTCTCTAGTAAGGTTAGCAAAATGATTCTAGCCTCTTGCCTGTGCATCGGTCTTTTTTCAATTGTGACCCCCCTGAGCCTGTCTGCTAGGGCCTTCGCTACTATTTTGTGTCTCAGCGTCAGGAGAGTATATGGGTCTATAGTTCCTTATGTCCGATGGGTTCCCTTTTCTGTATAGCAGCATCACTATGCCCGTCGGACGGTCCTTTCCCAGTCCCTCTTTTGTCCATGCTGCGCTGAGGAAGGACTCATATTCCCCTCCCTCCTAGGATGGGCCCCTTTTCTTTTTGACCTACCAAGTGCTGGCCCTGCTGGGGCCTGGTTTAAACCGCTAGTACACGGCCCCAGCCTTGCAGAAATTTTTTGTCGCCACAAGCAAAACGCGGAGGCGCCGCACGGCCAAGCCCGCCATTGAAAAAAAAAATTGGCGGCCTTCGAAGTGGTGCGGGTTTCATGCTGACACCCGCGGGCCGATATGTGGTGTACTGGTGCTTTAAGGACCTAGGAAGGAACTGGGAATGAATGATATCACAGAACTGGTTGTGAGTGCTGTCAAATAAAAAATAGAAAAAAAAAAAAGGTTACGGCTCTCCCAACCTAAATGGGGAGAGGAGTTTATACAACTTGACAGTGTATTCGAATGTTGTAATGCAAGCCTTAGGCACTGGGCCTTTCCGAAGGGGGAAAAAAGAGTCAGCTGACCCACCTTGGCACCTCGCTAAAATGTTTGATATGCTTACCATTTTCTAAAACTGACTTTAAGACTTTTTAAGTGTTTGAATTTGTTACTGAATTGCAACCTAAGTTGTGGTGAGGGTGGCAATCTGTGGATGGAAGGTAAATGGTCTGACATGCAAAGGCCTGAGTTTGAAATCGAGTGAAAAAGGGCGCGCATCCCGGGTGGCAAAATTTGGGCACTGGTATGGCTGGGCACGGCTGGACAAAAGTCGGGCCTGGGTGTGGCTGGGTAAGGGTAAGGCTTGTATTGCAGATACTGGGTGGACTGGGTACGGGTAGGAAAATTTTAAATCAGTCCGGGTGGACTGGGGCTGGGTAAAAAGTTCCCTTCCCTGTTTACGTGGGTCTGGTTACATATAAAACATCAAGGCTTACGCTGGGTCGGATATGGGTTGGAGAAAAAAATTGTTTGGTAATCTCTTGGTCACAATGTTATATGCTACTCGTAAGAGAGACATAGCTCCATAGTTGCGTACATTCTTATCCCCTGTTTTATTTAGGAGCGCGATCACCCCTGTGCTCAGTTCAGGCATTAGCCTTTCTTTGTCTCAAGGCTTTCACAAGGAGTGAACTTTTCACCCCATCCAACCCCAACCTGCCATCCATATATCGCCCATCGATGTCTGGTCCCTTGCTAGGCTTCGTTGTTCTGGGTGCCTTATAAGGTTCTTATTACTTCTTAATAGTTATCAGGCCTTCTAGTTTTTCTGCTATTTCAGGAGAGACTATTTTATCGAGCCCATGCTGCTGGATGCAGAGAGGAGGTCCGGACAAGCGGCCCTGCCTAGCCGCAGGGCCAGGCGCACGGCCTGTTGAGAGGACAATTGGGTCAGGGGGAGATCCAATTGGAGAGGAAAGCTGCCAGGAGAAGAAGATCCAGGAGACCCAGCGCTACGTATAGCAGTAGGTTGTAGCACTGGGCACAGTTGCTCTCGCATTTGACACCCACCAGGCTGGTGGAGCACAATGCTGGACTAGAGTTCTGTCGCCGCGCGCACTGCTGGGCAGATCTGCTCCACTGGGCATAGACATCCTTCTTCTTCATGGGACCCACATTTCATCAACGGCTCAAGGTCACCGGTCAGTATCACCTCCAAAAGAGAAAGAGAGAGAGAGAGAGAGAGAGAGAGAGAGAGAGAGAGAGAGAGAGAGAGAGAGAGAGAGAGAGATCATCATTAGGAGCGCAGCTCCCTGGTTGGAGACTTGAGACTGCTGTTCGGAAAGCGAGGAAGACAATATTGGATTGGGGGAGAGATTACCCGCTGGCGCTGCCACATATTGAGTTCTTCTTCTTCCTCGTCTTCATCCCTCCACACCCTTTGCCCGTGTATGGTTGAGGCCGGGAGGCATCCTTTTTTTCTTTTTAACGTGGACCATTTGTAAACTTATGAATGCCATCCCTGTGCAGGGGCCATGCTAATCTTCTCCGAACCGTTCCAATTCTAACGGCGGTCTGGAAGGACATGACGAGGCATCTTCTATGTTTGGCTTCCCGTTTTGAGTGATTGGTCAAATTTCTGCCACATTGTACAGTTTTCTGTCTGATTGAGAATCCCCCTTTTTTGGGATTGGGACGTAGCATACTGACGTTTGTTTTTGGGCATGCATCACTGGCCCTCATTCCTAAGGAAACAGATGGGGCCGCAACAGGGCCCAAATGGGAGCGGATGGGTTTCTCCACCCGGCCACCTGTTATGGGTGCTGGAAAAAGACCAAACAGTAGCCCACCGAACAAACTATAAACAACCTCACCATACACGCTCCGGGTGGAGTTGTAGGGAGATGGAGGACAAGAGCAGACATGTGTCAGTTCATTACCTTGTACCCCTGCAATATGCCAGTTGTGCTGAATGCAAACAGCTGCAGCGAAATACCGATCGACTTCAGAAGATAAAAGTCTTCTGCAGGACCTCTTGCACTCGGAACATCCTGCATCAAAACGAAGTTGTGCAAAACACACGTCATTTGAAATCTCTGCACATCGCCACAAGCTAGGTTGTATAGCAACTTCTTGTGCTTGTCGATCACATATTTACACAACAATTTCCAATGGCCTATTGAATCCCATTCATCAGCACTTGACAACAATGCAAAACACATTTCCAAGGGCCACACAAATGCTTGTTAAGTGAAACACTTTGTGTGCCATGTCAAGTGTCAGCAAGCCCTCAATCAACACTTAAACCACCAGTACACGTGCGCCTGGTGGCGCTTCACTGTGTGCCAAGCTTTGCCGAACCGCAAGTGGCCCTCTTTTTTCCTTTTTGCCTGGCGCCGCCAGCCATTGTCGTCCAGTAGGACCGCACCGCGAAACTTTCAGAGTTCCAAACTCACAAAAAAATTACTCCAAGGCTGGGGCCTTGTACTGGCGGTTTGACAATGCACGCCATGTTAAATGTGAGCATGGCTCAGCACGCCCTCAATCAACACTGAAACATGCCATGTTAAGTGTGAGCTAGCCGTCAATCATTGCATTCGATCAGGACACCTACGCAGGGCCCATTCTCGTCAGCACACCACAACGTCGTAGAAAATTGGACCAAAACCAGCAGATGGGAGGGGGAGGGGAGAATTGTCCCCATCAGAACATCAATGCCACGGACTAACTGAAGAAGGTGCAGTGATCTTGCTCAATTCCTAATGCGAGACAACTTCGAGACGAATTCCATAAAACGCAAGAAACAGCAGAGATAGACTAGGAGAGCAGACGAATCAAGAAAAAAGAAGACGAAGAAAAGATTGAACCAATGTCATATCCCTCCCCTCTCCATCATCAACTCCCTCACAGAATCGCTATCTCCGCTTATCAACAATTAAAAACAAAGGATGAATGAACGAATGAATAGGAATCAATGTCCGAATGACCTCCCTAACTGCCAGTACTGAAAGACCCATCCTCTCTCTCTCTCTCTCTCTCTCTCTCTCTCTCT